GCAACCTTCTAGGTCCAGCCTCTCAGCCCTTGCCTGGCTCTGCAAGAGTGAGTCAGCTCAGCCAACAGCATCTCCTCGCCCGGGCTTCATGATCCCAACCCACGTGTGCTCCTAACAGTGCACTGCCAGAGGGATTCTGAGTGGTTCCTGACCTCCTGCACCCCTTCCTGGTGGGCACAGGTGCCTTCTGCTCCTGCTGGCTCTGGAGATGTGGTAGGTCTGTGTGGGAGAATGCTCAGCAGTCCTCTCTTAGATCAGGGTCCACAGTGCTACTGAAAGAAAATTAAATGGGAAATATTAAATAGAAAGCATGGGGTTGAGGGGAAGGGATTTATAGCTCACAGACATTGAGGCAGGATTTGTTTAGGGTTTTTTTTGGCAATTTTTATTTTCTTCCACAAAATTCTAGTGCTTTTTCTTGTATTTGTCAGTGAGGATTTTGCTGGGATGCATTGTGTGTCAGAGAGCTTGGGGTTTGTGTTGCTGACTAGAACAATTGATTTTTATTTATTTGTTTATTTACTGCGGGAGAGAAACAAAGCCATAAGTTTTAAGACTTTAGCTGCTCTGGAGGAATTTTATTTAGAGAAACAGCCTGATTGTGTTGCAGTGTGTGGTTGACACAATCTCCTCTAATACTGTTGCCAGTGTGAGCTCTGCAGCAGAGCCCTGGGATCTCTCAGTCTGGTGCCCAGGTCACCTCGAGGAGTGCTCTGGCAGTCCAGGGTGCTTCTGCCCGGGGCAGAATCCATCTCCTGCCCTGGAGCTCAGTTGCACATCACACAGCCTGGCACACCACCAACTCCCTGCCAGCAGGAAAGGCACAAACTGCAGATTTTTGGGCTCTTCCCGGTTTCCCACCCTGCCTTGTTCCTTCCTGTTTTGCCCAGCTTCAGAGATGACTGGGGTCCCAGATGGTGCCCAGAGGTGGTGGCCATCCCTGGCCAGTTTGGGGGCTGTGTAGGAGCCAGGGCTCTGCAGCAGCTGGACACACAGGGCTCAGCAGAGCCCGGGGCGGGGATATCACTGTCCTGAAAGTGGTTTTGGAAGGTGACCAGCTGGAACCTTCTTAATCCCTGGAGCAGTGAGGTTCCCTGGGACCTGATCAGTGTGCTGAAAGCTGCCTGCTTGCTTGATTACTTTCTATATTATTTTTTAAGCATGATAATTACACTGCTGTGATTGCCAAGGTAGGGGCACGCCTGCCAATGTGGTGGTGCCTCCTACCAGCTGATGTCTCCTGCCTTGGTTGGGGAGAGCTGCTGTGGTGAGAAGCACAGCCCTGTGGATCTATCCCCATCCATATTGCTGGAGATGTGGGGTTGTAGCCTGTTACCCTGTCCTTGCACCCTAAGGTGCCCTTTTTGTGTGCACCCCAGAAGAGCCTCCCAGCAGCTCCCTGCTGCCAGGCTGTGGAGCGGAGCCCTGCATCACCGTGCTCCCTCTGAAGTTCCCCAGGAAAGCCCTCCCGTGGGTGAGTGCTGCCAGGTCCCTGGTTTCAGAGGAGCTCCTCTCCCACAGGAAGGTGGCAGGCAATGTTTATCTCAGTTGTGTTTGTTGGGGCTGGAGAGTGACTGTGTTAACACGCAACAGATGGGCCTGGTGAATAGGTGCTGGGGATAACCCTGTTTCCTCACGCAGCCTTGTTGCCTGCTGGGAAAGGAGCCAGCCAGGCTGTTTAAGGAGATGTATGGAGCTTGGACAGGCTGAGGATGGATTTCTCCTTCAACTGGTTCAGTTTTGGGTGAAGGTTGTTGCTGTGGGACAGAGGCTGCTGCCATAACCCACCATGTTCTGGTATGGGTTGGACCATGTAAAGGCAGGTTCCAGCCTGGTGCCCCCTGGGATCTTGGATCCTAAATTTAATTCCATTTCAGGCAGGGCCTGGAATTGTCCATCAGTCCTAGGCAGGAGTATGGGGAAAGCAGGCTGCAGGCTGGTGTCCTGCCAGTTGCCAAGGCTGGGGGATTGGTGGCTGGGAACCCAGAACTGTGGGGCACAGCTGAAGGTTCGTGTCCCGTGTCCTCTGCCATGCTGTGTGTCTCCCTCTCACTTTCAGGGAAAACCAGGTGACTGCTGGGCACCACAATGTGCAACAGAAGGCAGAGGAGTCTCCTGCCAAAGCTTGTCACACTGGTGGCCCTGCCACCACAGCACCTTTGAGGGAAGAGCTGATGGCCCTTCTGGAGGGCTCTTTGGTTTTCCTGAGAAAGTCAAATAGGTGGAAATCCCAGCAGCAGCTGGACAGTGTTAGGGGCTGACTCCTGTTGCATGGGGCAAGAAGATGGGACCAGGAGGGGGACAGTGTGACGAAAGAATGTCACAGCACTCCAGGGCCCTTCCAGGACACTTCAGTGTCCTGGCTTCCCCCTCCCTTCCAGCTGCCTGGAGCCTGGATCTGCCGCCCAGCCAAGTGAAATGGTGCTGCCTTCCCTGAGCCTGCAGCTTGTTGCTGATGCCACATCAAGCAGGTCTGGTGATGTGGCTCATCCCAATGTCCCCTTGTGTGGTACTTCTGTCTTTTAGGTTATCCTAGGTTTTCTCCTCTCTATGGGAAGGGACAGGGTGATTCCTTCCACGGTCCTGTGGTGGCATTGCTAGAAGCCTTTGCCTGCTGGGTAGGACCATTGGTGGCTGTTTCTCCCAATCCACAAAAAGCACTGTGTCATCCATGTTTTGAGTGGATTTTTTGGAGCCAGTGCTCTCCTGCACTGTGTACATGGCATGGAGGAAGCTGGAGGCGGATGGCAGAGATTGCTGACAGTCTTCCCTTGCCTTTTGCTGATGCCTGTGGTTTGATGAACCTCATCCAGTAAGACAAAAAAGATCATGGTGCCGTTCATGGCCCCATTTGCTGCCAGAGCTGGGCAGCAGCTCCTTCCCCTCCTCTGCTTGAGGAATGATCTCCCTGTCAGATGTTGTGGACATGGTGCTGCCACAGGGGAGAGGGATGTACAGGGGCTCTCATCTGTAGGACTTGAGGCAAAAAAATCAATGTTTATATTTCTCTTAGCTGGGAATAACTCCAGTAAATAAACACCTTGCAGAGTTCAAGCGATGCAGGCACCATATATGAACCAGAATGAATTTTCAAGCTCTCTCTTGCAATAAAATGGATTTCTTGATTTCAGGCTTTATTTAGAGAAGCGTTTGATTTAAGAAGGGAGTTGAAGGTTATATCTGATCTCTGTGAGGTGGAGCTGCACTTCTAGTGGCTATGGAGCACAGTGTGGAAATGTGGTTGGATTGCTGCTGCTGCTGCTGGAGTGTTCCCAGGAGAGTTTCTCATGTACCAGCCAAAGGGAGGGTCACTTCCCTCCTCCCCAGGGGGTTCTGGCTGCATCCTCTGCCCCTCCAGACCTCGCTGCTGCATTGCAGTCTGCTCAGAGCCTTGGGAAGCTGTGCTTGCAGGTGCTGCTGCTTGGGATTCTGGAGGCCAGCCAGGACCCAGTTCCTTCCACAGGCTGCACCGGCATCTTGGAGCTGGCTGTGCCTGCCCTTTGTGGGATTAAACACCCTCTTCCCCTTTGTTCCAGTCAGTGTGGTGGTTGAACTTGGTTGTTGAAGGGATGCTGGAGAGGGAGGCAGTGGTGAGCCCACTGAGGTGCAGCTCCCGTGACTTAGGCTGCTCTTCATCTCTGGAAGTCTGACTTTGCTGTTCCTGTGAAGGGCTGAGGGCGTGGGATGGACTTGGAGTCTTCTTCTGCACAATTGACCCTGTCTGGGGTCTCAGGCAAGCAGAGTAGGGAGGAAGGGCTTGGAAGGGGCCTGCTCTGCTGGAGAGAGGCACAGCTGACCTGGAGCTGGGGTTCAAGACTGGATTTATGACTTGGCCATCTTATCTGGGAGCAGGAGTGCATGGAGGCAGGGCTCCAGGCTCCTGGTGCATGTTCAACTGAGGGAGAGCTGGTTTGCCCTTGTGTGAAGGAGGAGGAAGCAGAAAACTCTGCTTTAGCCCCACCTTTGTTCCAAGCTGCAGGAAATGACCCCAGGCAGGGGACAAAGGGCACCTTGCAGGGCTGTTCTCAGTGTGAGAGCACACATGGCATGCTGAAAGCACCAGGAGGGCTGCACTGGAGGAATAGTTCTCCCTGCAACTGAGGAATCGCCATGGTCCATGGAGCTGGTGCTGCTGCTTCACTTTTAGAACCTGCCTAGAAGACGTAATTGTGACTTCCTGCCCCGGGACGAGGTGGTTCTGTCGTGTGTTGGACCCATTCTCCCATCTGGCTTTCAGGCATTCCCAGGCAGCTTTGGAGGTTGAAATCAAGGGCTTGTGCAGCCAGAAGGGCATGGCCTCTCTACTTCACAGATAAGTGGGGAAGCAGCTGGAGCTGGGACATGGTGCTCCTCTCTGCTGAGCTTGGAAGCTGCTGGTGAGCTGTCCTGGCACTGGACATTTCTGCTTCCAGGCTGACTGGGCCAGGCTTCCAGCCCCAAAACCTACAGCCAGGTAGAAACACCTCTGCACACCAAAGCCTGCCTTCCTTGGCTTGGTAGGGTCTGGAGTGGGATAACACAGTTATCCCAGTGTGGATAAGTGGTGTGGAGCTGAAAGGAGAGGAGAGAGACAGGAACAGAAAGTGAGACAGAGGTGAGATGGAGAGAAGAGTTGATGCTGGAACAGCAAGAAGGCAGAGCAGGGTGTCACCTCCTCCAAAGAGCTCCAAATGACCTGCAGACACACAAAGTTGCCAGGGTTGGGCACAGAGATGGTGTTTGCTTACCAGGGCACAACCCCACTGTGAGAATGGGGTCAGTGGGTGCTGGCTGCTTCTTTTTCCCTTCCTGGAGCATTTTGGATGGAGGCCAATGCATTGCCATGCACCTGGAGAATTTGTCAGTGCCAGAGGAGCAAGTGCCAATAGAGCAGTGACTGCATTGATGGTTGTTCCTTTCCTGGAAGCAAGGTCCTGAATATGCCAGCCCAGGAAACATGTGGCACCTCTGCATATTGGGTGGCCTTGGCCTCAGCCTCACTCTATTCTTCTTTCTTGCAGCCACTCTCACTCTCCCGGCTCCATGGCTGCCGTCCGTGAGTGGTCCTGCACGCGCTGCACCTTCCTGAACCCCGTGGGCCAGCGGCAGTGCTCCATCTGCGAGGCCCCCCGCCAGAAGCCTGACCTCAACCACATCCTGCGGCTCAGCGTGGAGGAGCAGAAGTGGGCCTGTGCCCGCTGCACCTTCAGGAACTTTCTGGGCAAGGAAACCTGTGAGGTGTGTGGCTTCACCCCAGAGCCAGGACCCAGTGGCTCCCCCTTGCCCGTCATCAACGGCATCTTGCCCAAGCCTGCCGTGCTGGTGGAGCCCAAGGGCACGTCCAAGGAGGAGGCTGCCAAGGCAGAAAGCAGCAGTGAGGACTCAGAGGGGAAGAGCCCCGATGAAGCAGAGCTGGAGAGCGGCTGGGCTTGCCAGCGCTGCACCCTGCACAACACGCCCGTGGCCAACTCCTGCTCCGCCTGTGGTGGCCCACGCAAGCTCTCCCTGCCCAAAATCCCACCAGAGGCGCTGGTCGTCCCTGAAGTCATCACCCCGGCTGGATTCCACATGACCCCCTCCACCCCGCAGCCTTTAGTCTCCGCAGAGATCTCTGATGGTGATGCCGCGGCCACCCAGGGCCCAGTGGCTATGGAGCAAGAGGTCCAGAAGATACCAGCCTTCAGCCCCTTCTCCCCGGGGCTCCAGAACAACCCTGTGCCCCGCAGCCGGCGGGAGGTGCCCCCACAGCTGCAGATGCCGGGCCCCGAAGGCTCCCAGCCCACAGCCACGGGCGCCATGGGGCAGAAGGGCTCTCCCCAGGGTCAGGCCAGGGCAGCCCCTGCCGCACGCTTCCCGGACCTGCTGTCCAACAAACGGCTGAGCGTGCTGGAGGAGGAGATGGAGGTCAGTCCGTCCCACTGGAAGTGCAGCTCCTGCTCCCTGCTCAACTCTGCTGGGGCCAGCAAGTGCGAGGTTTGCAGCACCCAAAAAGGCAGCGACACCATCAACGTGGTGGGGGACTCTGTGAGGTTCACCCCGTGCAGCCCCTCCAGCCCTGACTTCACCACCTGGTCCTGCTCCAAGTGCACCCTCAAGAACCCCACGCAGGCCCAGAAGTGCAAGGTGTGCGGCTCCTCCAAGCTGCACGGCTTCCAGGAGCACGGCCCGCCGGGCGAGCCGGCCCCGCGCTGCCCCGACTGCGGCGCCTGTGACAGGGCCGGCTGCTCCTGCGGCGCCAAGGCCCCGTCTGCGCGCAAGGTCGCCCGGCTCTTCCCGGCCCCGCTGCCCGGCGGGCAGGAGAGGCCAGGCCAGTGGGCCTGCCCCGCCTGCACCCTGCTCAACGAGCTGAAGGCCAAGCACTGCGGCGCCTGCCACACGCCCCAGCAGTACGTGGCCCAGCACAAGGGCCTCAAGCCGCTCAAGAGGAGAGAGAGCATGCACGTGGAGAAGAGGAGGCAAACAGATGAGGGCGAGGCCAAAGCCCTGTGGGAAAACATCGTGACCTTCTGCCAGGAGGTGAGTGCTTGCTTATTCCTGGCTTCCCCATAGGTCTGGGGCAGCACCTTCCATGCCTTGGGTTCCAGGAATCTTCTCTTGCAACAGCTGGATGCTGTTTGTGAGCACTGAAATGTCATATTTTGGTGCAGAATGATCTTGGGGTGAAGACAGCCCATACAGCCCACTCCTAGTGCGAGGGTGAAGAAGGCTAAAACCTAGTGCTAAACTTGTTAACTCTGAAACCCAGTGGTGTTTTAAATCAGTGAGAGAGAACTTCTGGGATGAAGGGAACATCCTTTAGGTGGTCAGTCCATCCTCTTCCAGTGTCACCTTCCAGCGTCTAGTGGTGGGAAAGGCGGCGAGTGTGTCCAAGTTTGCTGGTGGCACTGCTGTCTGTGGATGCAGGAAATCTGGGATGCAACAAGCAGAAGCTCAGGATGAGAGGGCAGGCAGAGGAACTGCTGCCACTGCCATCAACTGCAGGTGTTTCAGAACCATGGGCTGGGCCTTGGCTTTCTTGGTTTGGGTGTTGCAAATGCAGAGGTGCAGCACAAATGGCTCCCCCTGTTGTGAGCAGGCCAGCTGGCTCTAGCTGAACTGCCAGCACTCACCCTCCCACTGTGAGGTATCTGGTCCAGTCAGTTGGGTTTCAGCCTCAAACACCACTCTGTTGGCCTCATTTTTTTTCCCTGGATGGCATTAAAAGCTCCTGTGAATGCTGCTTTCTCTGGCCTCCTTCTGGGGGAAGCCTCCAGCTCTTTTGGACCAGATGGAAAGGGAGTTGCAGTCCCATTTTGACGTAGAGACAAGGCTTTTCCTGCCTGGTCTGAGGATCGTGTCCATTCCTGTGCTTCTACTGCACAATCCAGGGAACAGAGATGTTTGGCTCAGAGGGGAAGCTCTGAGAATGATCTTGTTTGGGCTTGTGGTTTTTTTAAATTGCTGTGTGTCCTTCCTAACAGGCGTGGGAGTCTTTATAGCAGAGACCCAGATTCTGCTTATCCCTGTCTTTTAAGCAAGTGAATAGCCTCTTTTGTAGGCAGGGAACATCTGTTCCATCAGGAATCAGGCCTGAAGGATGAATCATGATGATGGCCAGGCTGAATGAGCAGTGTGGCACTGCCAGGAAGGGGAGCCTGCCTTGCCCTGTCCCGCAGTGCTGGGCCTGTTGTGCTCCTTAACCCACCCGTAACGGGCTGTTAGATCCGAGTGGGCCATCTCCCAAAAATCCCAACCCCAGGTGTGCTCTGACACTGTTTGGGTGCGAGGTTAGGCCTGGCAGCAGCGGAGGGACGATGCTGCTCCCGTCGCTGTGCTGCCCTGCTCTCGGTGCCCCTCGCAGTGCTCCTGGCCAGGCTGGCATGTCAGGTCCCTCCGAGCTGCCCCAGCGTTTCCCAGGCTGTTCAGCCTTCCCCTGGAGGAGTCAGCCTGGCCGAGTTCTCCTCCGTCTGTTGTCCCCTGCCCCATGTCATGTGGAGCAGCTCCTCTTGCTGCTCCCTGCCAGGATTTCTGCTCGAGCTCCTGCTGTGGGTTTTCCTTCCTCTGCTATTCCAGGGATGCCCTTTCCAACTCTTCTCAGTGTGTGGTCCCTAGTTTAGTTTTACCCTTTCTCTTCTGTTGAGGAGCAGTGCAGAGCTGACCTCTTCCACTGGAATCATGGAATCAGAATGGTTTGGGTTGGAGGGGACCTTAAAGCTCATCTCATTCCAACCCTGCCAACCCACCTCACCTTCCACCGCACTAGGTTAGTCCCAGTCCTGTCAAGACTGGCCTTGAACACTTCCACGGATGAGGCAACCACAGCTTCCGTGGGCAGCCTGTGCCAGGGCCCTCCCACCCTCACAGGGAAGAATTTTTCCCCAGTACCCAATCTCAGTATCTCTCCTTTTAGTTTAAAATATTCCCCTTGTCCCATCACTGCTTGTCCGTGTGAAAAATTGCTTTCCCTCTTATTGATAAGTCCCCTTTAGGCACTGGAAGGGGTCTGAGGTCTCCATAGAGCCTTCTCCAGGGGAACACCCCTAGCTCTCCCAGCCTGGCTCCAGAGCAGGGGGGATCCTGCCCACACAGCATCTCCATGGGGTCCCCTGGACCTGTTCTAACAGATCCACATCTTTCTTATGCCGAGTCCTCCAGAGATGGACAAAACTGAGGTCTCACAAGGGCAGAGTAGAGGGGGTGAATCCTCTCCCTTGCGTCCTTATGGCCCTGCACAACAAATTCCTGCAGAGCCCAGAGATCCATGTGCAGGGATGGGTCACATCCAGGTCCCCAGCCAGGCTGTGACTGAGGCTGCTGGAATGGTGGCTGCTCCTCAGCTGCATGGGGCAGATGCTCCCCTGAAAGAGCAGGACAGCTATTAGCTGAAAAACAGCCTCCTGCAAAAGAGGAGCTGGAGATGCTAATTGAGGCACCACAAAGGAAGCATTCAGGTAGGATTGCCACAAAAGAGGAGGTCAACTACTAATTGGGTGCGCGTAAAGCTAATTTAAATCAGAGCCAGCTTTTGCTGAAAGAATTTAATTTAATTTAATTTAATTTAATTAACAATAACAAAGAAACACCTGTTCTCATTTTACCCAGTGTTAGACTGAAAAAGCCACCCTTCTCCACTTGGTGAAGTTCTGTGCTTCCATCCATGTGGTTAATGCCTATGGCATTACCTGCCCTTCCACCCATCCTATTTATTTAGGACACAGCAGCTATTGCAGGAGGGCTGGGACGTGGGATACCCTTACTCTGAAATTGCTTGCCTGGTTGTGGTCTGGCTGAATGCAATTGCAAAAGCTGCCCCTCCCATTCCCTATGGATGTGCCTGGGGGGTGGCACAGGGCTGCCAAGCCCAGCTGTCCCCTCCGGGGCAGGGACAAGGCTTGGGCTGAGGTGCGTTTGAGTGCCAGGTGGCTTCTCGCAGCCTTGCTGTTTGCAGGCTTTGCTGCTTGTGGAGGCAGCCAAGGCCCCCCACAGCCCAGCTTTTAGCACCAGCACAAAGTGTGAGACGGTCCCTGCCCAGGGAGGCTCCTGTGCAACAGAAAAAGGCAGATTGGAGTCACAGCTCAGAGCTTGAAACCGGAGAGGTGAGCCTGAAGCAAGGCTGAATGCTGGACCTGAAGCACAGAAAGCATCTCTGCTGCTGCCAGCAGACACCAGCCCAGTCCTGCCCCCCTGCAGGCTGGGAAGGGACTGCCTGGGCCAGGCAGGAGGGCTCGGAGCCCTGCTGTCTCTCAGGGGTGAGTGGGAGGCTCTCCAGGCCCCGCAGTCCCAAGTGGCTCCAACTAATGCTCTCCTTGCCTTTTGCCCTCACAGAACAAAGTCAATTTTGTGGACGACAGTTTCCCACCCGGGCCCAAGTCCGTGGGGTTCCCGGAAGGTGACAGCGTGCAGCAGCGGGTGAAGCAGTGGCTGCGGCCCCACGAGATCAACTGCAGCATCTTCAAGGACCGCTCGGTGAAGTGGTCAGTGTTCCGCACCCCGCGGCCCTCGGACATCCTGCAGGGACTGCTGGGAAACTGCTGGTAAGGCCGAGTGAGCCGGGCCGACACCCTCCCACCCCTTCACCCCTTCCCTCTTTCCCTCCTCTTCCTCCAGCTCCAGCTCGGCCCCCTCAGCCCTACTCAAACCCATTTATGCCCCCAGGCTGTAGCCCATGCTCTGCCTCACCCCTCCCAGTGCTTCGTGGCCGGGCAGCTCGTGCTGCCCACCCGTGCTGCCCACCCGTGCTGCCCACCCGTGCTGCCCACCCATGCCACACTGAGGCCACCCCGCCCGTGCTGCCCCACCCGTGCTGCCCACCCATGCTGCCCACCCATGCTGCCCACCCATGCTGCCCACCCATGCTGCCCCACCCGTGCTGCCCCACCCGTGCTGCCCCACCCGTGCTGCCCACCCATGCTGCCCCACCCGTGCTGCCCCACCCATGCTGCCCCACCCATGCTGCCCACCCGTGCTGCCCGCCCATGCCACGCTGAGGCCGCCCCGCTGCCCGGCAGGTTCCTGAGCGCCCTGGCCGTGCTGGCCGAGCGGCCCGAGCTGGTGGAGAGGGTGATGATCACCAGGACGCTGTGCCCCGAGGGCGCCTACCAGGTGCGGCTGTGCAAGGATGGCACGTGGACCACGGTGCTGGTGGATGACATGCTGCCCTGCGACGAGTGCGGGTACCTGCTCTTCTCCCAGGTCAGTGCCATGGTGGGACTGGGGTGGGCAGTGCCCCAGGGCTCAGGGAGGCTCATCCCAGGAGAGGCAGTGGGAAGAGGCACTGCTGGGGTTCATGTGAGGCCCCTACTTTGTGCTGCATTTAGAGTCATAGAGACACTGAGGTTGGAAAAGGCCCCAAACATCATCAGTCCAACCACTGATTAAATACCCCTTGCCCACTAGACCATGCCACAAAGCACCACATTGACTTGTTTTCTGAACACTCCCAGGGATGGGGACTACACCAGTGCCCTGGACAGCCCATTCCAATGCCTGACCACATTTCATTAAGGAATTTTCCAAATATCCAAGCTAAACCTCCCATGGTGCAACTTGAGTCTGTCCTTGTTTCCTGGGAGCAGAGCCTGACACCCCCCCCCCGCCCCCCGGCTGTCCCCTCCTGTCAGGGAGTTGTGCAGAGCCACAGGGTCCCCCCGAGCCTCCTTTTCTCCAGGCTGAGCCCTTTCCCAGCTCCCTCAGCCCCTCCTGATGCTCCTGACACTTCCCAGCTCCATTCCCTTCTCTGGACACGCTCCAGCCCCTCAATGTCCTTCCTGTCATGCCAGGTGTCATTGACCTTGCCCACCTGGGCACATCTGACTCATGTTCAGCTGCTGCCAAGCAGCACTCCCAGGTCCTTTCCCAGCAGGAACTTCCCAGCTGCCCCAAGCCTGGAGCTGCCAGGGCATGCTGTGACACAAATGGAAGATCCAGCGCTGGTTGCACCCTGTTTGCAGCTCAGGACACTGCTCTTTACTGTGTCCTCAAAACAGCTGAACTCTTTGAGGCCATAATATCCATCTATTTAGACCCCTTTTGGCATTTCTCAGGCTGTGGTGAAGGAGTTTCATTCACAGTTACTTTTCCCTCACTCCTTGCACCACAGCCACTTCACTTGCAGGGAAAGCCACCCTTATTCTTCATATAAAAGGAAGACACTTTAACCTGTGTTTTGCACTGCGAGGGACTGAGGGAAAGCTGTTTCTTTCCTCTGAGGGGAGGTCTGGCAGCTTGGCTGTGCCAGGGAGGACCTGTGGAGAAGGAGGGGATGGCACATGGAGCAGCCTGTTCCCAGCCAGTGCCCAGGTGCTCTGAGCACGCTGGGGTGGCATCTGCTCGGGTCAGTGGAGCTCCCTCAGCCCCTCCAGGACATCACTCTGCCCTGCCCTGCCTGGCAGGCCCAGGGGCTCTTGCTGGGATCATGTCCATGAAGGAGACTGAGAACATCTCTGTTGAAACTCAGGGGGCAAAATCTGCTAAAGAAAACAAAGTACCACTGTCAGGAAGAGACAGGGACTGGGACTGCTGGCTTGGATTTCGTTCTGCAAGTCCAGTCCTCTGGATTTTGAGACACAGCCATGTCAGGACAGGACTCAAACTTCAGAGTCAGGAAGAAGGAGTTTGTGTCTACATTCTGCCTCTCAGTAGACAGAGCATACAGATGCATTTCTGTGTTTCAGCATAAGATTTACCTGTCTTGGTTTTTACCTTTTCCTCCCATCTTTCATTAATTTCAAGTCTGCTTTTGGAGTTTTTTTAATATTTTGGAGTTTTTTAAAGAAAACCATGTGGAGGTTTTCACATGGGCTGGACTTGCCTTGCCTCTGTTTCCAGGGGCATCTGAATCGTGATGAGATTTTTCTGCTGAGTGTTCAGCTGTGGGAGTTGGATGTGGGGGATATAAAAGGAAAATCAGAGTTTTAAAAATAAAAGAAAATCAGGCTCTTATCTGAGCTCCCTGGCTGTGGATCAGGCAGAAATAAACAACATGGATTTTGTTCAGTGAGGGACCCAAAAACCAGCAAAAAGCACTTTTAAGCTCTCTTTATCCATCAGAAAGAAATCTTCTCTGCCCTCCTTTCCTCTGCCAGCTCTTGGCTGCCACCTGTGAGTCACACAGGCACAATGTACCAGTGATTTTCCCTGCTGCTCTCCAAGCACCGGATACCAAACCCCATTTGCTGGAAAAAAACTTGTGTTTTGTAATTAGGCCTTGTAGTTACTCCCTGTGCTGGAGTTGAGGACTTTGCCAGTCCAAGTTTTTGGAGCTTGTCCTTGAAGCAGTGTCTGTGTTGCCTGGGTGGAATCCAGTCAGTTCTGTGGCCATGTGCGCTCCGGGGAGCCTCCTCTGCCAAAGAGGGGTGTTGGTTTGGGTTTGCAGAGGTGTCTAAGTTAAAGGCAGCTGTTCCAGATGTGCTCTACACCACAGAATCCTAAATGTCCTGAGTGGGAAGGGACCCACAAGGATCATGAGTCCAACTCCTGGCCCTGCACAGGGCACCCCAGCAATCCCACCTTGTGCCGGAGAGCGTTGTCCAAATGCTCCTTGAGCTCTGGCAGCCTTGGTGTCCTCTTCCATTATTAAATGTGGTTATGTGGTTCTAAGTTCAGGTTGAAGTGGACAAAAGGGGCTCAGGGTGGGCACACACCCTGCCAGCCTGATTGCTGGGCACCCCAGAGTGCAGTTCTGTCAGCATCCAGACCTCTTGGATGTTCATTCCAGGACTTCTTCCCAAGGGGAATTGAACTCTGCAAACAAAACACTGAGCAAAGAGTGAACGGGGGCCAGCTCCTGGCATGGCCTTGCTGCTCCTGCCTCTCCAGCTCAGGATGGCTGTCCCACTCCTGCCCGGTGGTGATGTGTCCCTCCCTCTCTCTGCAGGCCCAGAGGAAGCAGCTGTGGGTGGCCCTCATCGAGAAGGCGCTGGCCAAGCTGCACGGTTCGTACTTCGCCCTGCAGGCCGGGCGTGCCATCGAAGGCCTGGCCACGCTCACAGGGGCCCCCTGCGAGAGCCTGATGCTGCAGGTCAGCTCCACTAACCCTCGCGAGGAGCCCATTGACACTGACCTCATCTGGGCCAAAATGCTGAGTTCTAAGGAGGCTGGGTAAGATAAGGCAGGAGCAGGGACACTGGAGCGGGGGGTGAGGGGAGCATTCTTGTCTTTAGAGGCTCAGGAGAGGGGTTACTGCATTAGCTGGGGCAGAGTCCACCACCCTTGCCACTCATCTGGAGCATTGGTGGAGCTCCCACTCAAAGCTCTAAGAAATTTCTCCTGTGAGTGATTCTCATATGAAATTAAAAGCTCAGTGAATTTCCCATGCTTCCTGTTGTCTTGCAGGAGTTAGGAAGTGGCACTGAGCCCACTTGCATTGCTTTGAGCTTTTCTGTTGTGTGAATGCTTCACCCTGCCCATGTCTCCCACCCATATGTGACATCTTTGCTAATGACACCTGGCCAGCTCTGGTCTAGAGGGGGCACAGCCAAAGCAGAGACCTTCTGCTCATCACTTGGGCGGGAGGGCAGCTGGGTTGGCTGAAGGCTGGGGTATGTGGCCCCATGGATGGATAGCTCATGGCGTTCCCCTAAACCTGCCCCAAAATAGTGTCCTCACCCCTGCCAACTTGTCTAGCTGCTGGACCACCTGCCTTTCTCCATCACCTCCCCCCTTTCTCCAGGCTTTCTGCCAACCAGACCTGGTAGAAACTGGGGGAGGTTTGGGGCAATACTTAGCAGTGCAAAGCAGCTCTCCTTGGAGCCTGGGCTCAGCATGCACGTGGGCAAGGGGAGGGAGCTCTGGCCAGCGGGGCTGGGCACTGCCTGGGGAGTGTTGTTGATCCCAACAGTGTTGTTGCAGAGAGCCTCCTGGGAGGAAGCTGTCCCATGCCTTGTTAGAGAGGGATGAGCTTCCCCCACGGCAGGACCCCGAGGGTTTGCTGTCCCCGTGCAGGTTCCTCATGGGCGCATCCTGCGGCGGAGGCAACATGAAGGTGGATGATGTGGCCTACGAGAGCATGGGGCTCCGACCCCGGCACGCCTATTCCATCCTGGACGTGCGGGATGTCCAGGGCTTCAGGTGAGCTCAGGCTGGAGCCTGCCATGCCACTGCAGCTGCTCCTGCTAGCAGACCCAGCAGAAAACCTGGGGACAGATAACTGAGGACATGGTGAACAGGACCTCGGGGACTCTTTGGTGTCCCATCCTCATGGCCAGCAAGGATGACACCCTCCTAGGGTGTCACATAAATGCTATTATCATATGAGCTGTCCTTGCCTGGTGCTGGCTCCATGTCCAGGAGTGGGATGTTTCACCTGGTCTCACAAGACATAGAGGACTGAGTTGAGCTCTCACTTTGGTGAGGTGCTCGGAGCATAGTGCTCACCTTTGAATGGAAGTGGGAGAGAAGTGGGTGCCACCCTGACAGCTGGCTGCTGTAGGAAGATGTATTTTCAGACATGTCACTCTCAGCAGCCTCTCCCCTGCTGAGCTCCTTCCCCACAGCACCTGGCTGAGCCCCTTTGGGCAGGGAAGGGCAGAGGGAGCAGCAGCAGGACCAGAGCCGCAGGACAGGGACATCTGGGGCCATGATGTGGGTGACACATTAGTTCTGGGATGCTGTGAGGGCTTTGTAAGGCGGGAGTGACAGGGTGTCCTTTGTGGGGAGCAGGCTGGATCTCCCTCCTGGGTCTCTGACTTTTCCCTTTCCCCAGGTTACTGCGCCTGCGGAATCCCTGGGGCCGCTTCTCCTGGAACGGCAGCTGGTCGGACGAGTGGCCGCACTGGCCGCTCCCTCTGCGCCACGAACTGATGCCCCATGGCAGCAGCGAGGGCGTCTTCTGGATGGAGTACAGCGACTTCATCAAGTATGGCACCACCAGAGCAGAGCTGTGGGGAGGGAACAGGGCAGGAATGGAAAACGGGACGTGGGGTCATGATGGGGCAGGTGGGACCGGTCATCCCTAGGGAATGTGGGTGTCCTGCAGCATGGGACTGAGCTCGGCTTCCCCACAGGTATTTTGACTCCGTGGATATCTGCAAACTCCATTCGGACTGGCACGAGGTGCGTGTGCAGGGCGTGTTCCCCAGCAAGGCCAACGGGCCGGTGACGGTGACGTCGCTGACGGTGTTGGAACGCGCAGCTCTGGAGTTTGCCCTCTTCCAGGAGGGCAGCAGGTGAGTTGGCAGGGCAGTGAAATGGGGGGCTCAGCTTGGAGAAAAGGAGGCTCAGAGGGGACCTTGTGGCTCTGCACAACTCGCTGATAGGGGAGTGCAGCCAGGCAGGGGTCAGGCTCTGCTTTCAGACAGGACAAGGGTAAACAGGCTCAAGTTGCACCAGGGGAGGTTTAGTTTGGGTATTGGGGAAAATTTCTTCAGTGAAAGGGTGCTCAGGCCCTGGCACAGCTGCCCAGGGCAGTGATGAAGTCCCAATCCCTGGAAGAACTCAAAGCTTATGGATGTGGCACTTGGGGACATGGGTTAGTGGTGACCTTGTCAGCGCTGGGTTAATGGTCTTGATGTTTTTAAAGGACTTTCCCAGCATTAATGATTGCACAATTTTATGTTTCTGTGGACCCAAAAGAACTCCAAACACATTGGCATCTCCCACATGACATTCCCCAGTGTCACAGAGCTCAGGGATGGGCTCCCATCATCATCTCTCCAAATCTGGGGAACTGCTCATGTTTAGCTGGAACCCAGCTCCTGAATACGTGGCTGGTTCCTGGGGCTGGATATTTGGGGCAGTGGGATAGCTGTTCCCTCGATCTGCTGCCTGTGTCTTGGGTGACGTGTGACCCTTCCTCCCCGACACAGGAGGTCAGACACGGTGGACAGCCACTTGCTGGACTTGTGCATCATGGTTTTCCGGGCCACCTTCACCAGTGGGAACAAGCTGAGCCTGGGCCGGCTGATGGCCCACAGCAAGCGAGCCGTCAAGAAGTTTGTCAACTGCGACGTGATGCTGGAGCCGGGCGAATACGCCGTCGTGTGCTGTGCCTTCAACCACTGGAGCGCTGCCCTGGCCGGCCCTGCTGCCCAGGGTGAGGGCATGAGGGGTCCTGGGGGAGTGAGGTGCCAAAGCCCTTGGTCCTCCTCATGGGGACCTTCCTGAGGGTGGAGGTTGCCTGTTTGATGTTGCACATACATCAACCCTGGAGCATCATGCTCCGTGACAGGTTGAGGGCTTGGTGACAGTTCCCTGATCCCCATTCCTTTGTGTGTCTCTGTAGCTTCCAGTCCCACCAGCAGCCGACCAGCCACTGATTATTCCAGCTACATCCTGGCTATCTACAGCTCCCGCCTGGTGATGGTGGAGCAGGTGGAGGCACAGCCCACCACGCTGGCAGATGCCATCATCCTGCTGACCGAGAACAAGGGCGAGCGCCACGAGGTGGGTGGGGGGCACAGGGTGTGGGCTGCAGTGGGGAGAGGGGTGATGCTGCCAGAGGGAGCCTGGGCCTGTGGGGCCCTTGGGCAGGGCTGTGCCAGCTCTGGCTGCCACCCCTGGGTGCCCACCCCCTTTGTTCCCTGGGGCAGCGTGGGGCACCCCAGCAGATGGGCTGCCCTTGGCTAGAGGGGAAGATGCCAGTGCAGGGGTTTTGATTTGGGGACAGGGGTGCCCAGAGGATTCATCCCCTTCCCTGCTGTCTGCCCCAGGGCCGTGAGGGGATGACCTGCTACTACCTGACCCATGGCTGGGCAGGGCTCATCGTGGTGGTGGAGAACCGGCACCCCAAGTCCTACCTGCACGTGCAGTGCGACTGCACCGACAGCTTCAACGTGGTGTCCACGCGCGGCAGCCTCAAGACACAGGACAGCGTCCCCCCCCTGCACAGGTCTGGGGTAGGCAGGGGTGGGTCACAGAGGCTGCCATGGGGCTGGCATGAGGCTGGGAGAAAGGCAGAGCCAGGGCTGGCAGGGAGGCATGGACAGGGTGGGATTCCTGGGACAGAGGTGGGATTCCTGGGGCAGAGGTGGGATTGCCAGGGCAAAGGTGGGATTCCTGGGGCAGAGGTGGGATTCCTGGGGCAGAGATGGGATTGCCAGGACAGGTAGGATTGCTGGGGCAGAGGTGGCATTGCAGGGGTAGAGGCTGCTGCCCTGAGCCCCTGGCTCTCTCCACAGGCAGGTGTTGGTGATCCTGTCCCAGCTGGAGGGTAACGCCGGCTTCTCCATCACGCACCGCCTGGCGCACCGCAAAGCCACCCAGGCCTTCCTCAATGACTGGATGCTGACAAAGGGCACCCACAACCCGCTGCTCACGCCCGAGGTCGCTGGGCTGCATGGCCCCCGGCCCCTATGACGAAGAGCCTCCCCTTCCCCGCCCTGCTGCCCCGTTCCTGTCACCGAGCCTCTGGCCCGGAGTGCCCCCAGCGCTGAGCTGTGGGGCAGAGCTGGAGTGGCAGCTCCAGCGCTTTGCCCCACGCCGCGGGGCCGGGGCGAGTTCTCGGGGCCAGCACCAGCCCTGCCCGCTGCCCTGGCACCGCTGCCCCCACGCACTTTACAAGGAGCGGCTGGGGGCATGGGCCATCTCAGGATCCCACCTCCCCGGTCCTGCGCTGGGCCCGGTGCCCTCTGCCCACCCCGGGGGCTGGGGGAGAGGGGGGGGCTGGAGGTTGCTGTCAAGACCCTTCCCAGGCACCACGCTCAGGACTCTGCCCCTTCCCGTGGCGCCAGGGCACTGGCGCTGCAAAAAGCAGAATATACCTCTGATGTCTGTCCGTCTGTGTGAACCTCCGTCTGTGCCCAGGCCCTTCCCGCTGTCTTGTTGCCCCCTTTGTCTGCTGCCGGGACCAGCGTGGTGCTGAGGTTGGGCTGGGGGGTGCCAGGGTCCCACTGCCATGGTGCCACCCATGCCAGGGACCCCCCACCCATCCTGGGTGCTGGGGCTGGTGGGGAGAGGGCACAGGGTTGTTGCAGAAAGCTGCTGCTGAGGGGGTTTTGCTGTAATTGGGGTGGAACTCAGCTCCAGGCGGGGAGCAGGACCTTGGGGTGCTGCTGGCGGGGGCTGCGGCCCGGGGCCGCTCTCCCTGTCACACACGTGTTACTATGCAAAGGCGGCCGGTGGGAGCAGTGCCTGGACAGAAGCCATGGCCCGAGCTGGGCTCAGCCCCCTGGCACTGCCCTGTGGGCCCCTCCTGTGCCCCACTGAGGGAGGGTGGGCAGCAGGTACAGACCCGGGGTCAGGGAGAAGTTCTCTGGGGTTACCACGAGTCTATGTGCTGGGGAAGGGGTGGTTTTGGGGGTGAAGCAGAGAGCCCCCTCCTCCAGAGCCCGAGTGCTGTGGGAGGCAGTGAGCACAAAGCAAAGGCTGCACCTCAGGGTGCTGCTGGCCCTGTGGGTGCTCCGAGGTGGGGGCTGATCCTGGGGGGAGCTGCACCCCACGTTTTCAGGGCATCGTGGCTCTCTGACTTGACGTGTGAGCGTGTGTGTGTGTGTGTGTGTGTGTGTGTGTGTGTGTGTGTGTGTGTGTGTGTTTTGGGGGTTCCCCTGTGTACCGTCTCCTTCCTGAGCTGTGTGGACTTACAGCTGAGGGGGGACGATGGGCGATGCTGGACCCTGTTCTGGCAGGGACCATGCTGGGGGGTCCTGCACCCCAAATCCTGCACCCCAAACCCTGCACCAGCAGCTGGGCTGGGCAGGGGGTGCGGGGCTCTGTCCCTCTTTGTCCCCCAGGGATGGGGGTGCTGGGGGGGTGGGCTGCCCTGGCACCCTCCCAGCTCCCCCAGCTGGGGCTGCTGAGCCAAGCTCTGTCTGTACTTCTGTTTGTTGGTCTGTTTTCTCTCTTTCCAGCTCCTCCCTCCTTGGGATGATTTGTCCTTCACTTTTTTTTTCCTCCTCTCTCTTTCTGTCTTTCTGAGCTGTGAATATTTTTAACCCTGTAAATACTGTCCAGCTCTTCAGAATCATAGGATATTTTATCAATTGTAAATCAGATCAGTAATCCCTGTATGATATGAATTATCCATGGGTGGTTTTCAAACTCAGGTTCTGACGGACCAAATAAAGTTTTGTTTTTTACTGAAGCTGTCTGGTTTTGCTGTGGAAGAGACGAAAGAGGCGAGTGGGCTGGTTTGGGGGTCAGAGCCATGGTCTTGAAGGCATTTCCGTGGAGCAGTGACAGTCGGTGCTGGGGGAGAGCTGAGCACCAATAAAAGGGGAATTTGAAGTCTTCCCGCACTTGGGGGTGCAGGAGCGTAGAGAGGGGCGTAAATAAAGCAGAACAGGAGCAAAATGCAGAAATTCCCATTAAACGAGCGGTGTTCTCCCGCAGGGCCGAGCAGGGCTGTGCCGTGGCCGGGAGAGGGCACCCACCAGCCGCCGGGATGCTCGTGCCTCAGTTTCCCCAGCCGTGCCCTGCACCGTGTGATGGAGCATCCCCCTCCTCGCAGCAGCCAGGGCAGCACCCGGCTCCCCGCCCTGCTGTGTCCGGCGGCGGGGCCGCCTGGCGCGGGGAGAACTTTCCGGCTGAGCGGAGGCGGCCGGCTGCCAGCCCGCTCTCGCCCGGGGTGGGCACCTTGAGACCAGTAGGGAGAGACAGAAGGAGAGGATTTCGCTCTTTCTTACAGCAACTTGTAATAGATTTTTCCGGGCGAAACATCTTTGCATTCAGGAGGCCCTGTCACAAGCCATCAGCCTCAGCCGGGGAGAAACAGATGGAGAGTTAATTTTGGCGGGGAGGGCAGCGCCACGCTCCCTCCTCTCCCTCAGTCTGTTCAGGGAGGGGAGCCGGGTTTAACCCTCGCGGCCCTGCAGCCCCTCGCTGTCGCCTCCCGCCATCCCGGGGGGCTGCGGCGGGTCCCCCCTGCCCGTTCTGTGCTGCTCAGTGCCAAGGACACGCCGGGACATCAGCGCAGTGACCTGGTGGCGGCTCTTGCCGCGATGACCGGCCCAGGTGGGTGATCGTGTCCTGCCTTCCCACGGCCACGGCTCCGCGTCCTGGCGAGCCCCGCGCCTGCCAACGCGCTGGGAGCAAATCCTGCTGTGCCAGGAGCTTGGCACGGCGGTGCCCGGTGGCCGAGGGGACACCACCTCCCAGGAGGAGGCACGGTGTGCGGCAGTGGGGGCGGTGATTCTGTCTGGACGCTTTGGGAGCCCTCAGAACACCCCCAACTCACAGATCGGGCTGAGAGCTGCGGTGTAGCCGTGGAAGGAGTGGAGGTGAAATTAAACCCTAATTGTGCCCAATTCCCAAGGGCTGAGGCAGCATTAACTGCTTTATAATTACAAATGATTGTGTGGCAAAAGATAAAATTGTGTTTGACACATCAGCTCTGGAGGAGGGTGTTGCTTCATCAGGAAATTTGTCATCCCCTGGCTCTGTCAGTCTTAAGCCTGAGGTCTGAACGGGGAGATAGGGATGGGCAGAGGGAGCAGCGGGTCAAGGGAAGGATGGATGGAAGGGAAAGATGGGCAGCAGGACACGGTGGAGGGGAGATGGAGGAGGAGTGCTGTGGTACCAAGCCGTGTGAAGAGCAGAGGCACAGGTGTGACAGCTGAGGCAGGGAGCAGGCAGGGGCTGTCCCATTGCTCTGGCACGGCTGTGACTCCTCACCCAAGGGGCTGTGGCTGCAAAAATGGCAGGACAAGTCACCCCAGGGGTGTCCACAGCCCAGCTCATCTGGTGGGCCAGCATGAGCACGTCAGGCTGCCGGGGCCATGTGAGCCCACCCCACTGCTGCTGCCGTCCCACTGATCCCCTCCACCCGCAGGGCTGGTGCTGCTCCTCCCTGGGCACACACGAGGATGCTCAGGCAGATAAAGGTGAGGGGTGGGCAGGCCCTGGCACAGGGTGCCCAGAGCAGCTGTGGCTGCCCCTGGGTCGCTGGAAGTGTCCAAGGCCAGGTTAGACGGAGCTTGGAGCAGCCACGGTGGAAGGTGTCCCTGCCCACAGAAGGGGGTGGAATGGGATGGGCTTTGATGTTCCCTCCATCCCAAACCAGCCTGGGATTCTCTGAGGCAGCCGCCTCTCATCAGCACGGTCCGAGGCCGGGGAAATCTCCCCGGAGGCAGCGCTGGGAACGGGGTCCTCGGGTGGGAACGGGGTCCCGGCTCTGGCCCCTCAGGCCCGGCTCGGGAGGGGCATGGCAGGGAGCGAGGGCTCCAGCGCTCTCTGTGATTCACTCTGACTATAATGGGAGCTGCTGGTGAATATTTTATGGCTCCCACAGGGCAGATAGAACATATTGTGCATTTTACGCCACAAATCTCCGCCTGGAGACAGAGGGAAGCTTAAAAAAGAGCAGCACCAGCGCTGCGCTGGGTTGAGGGGGGCAGCGCTGCAGCGCCGGTGCCAGCGTGAGCATCGCAAGGGTGTTGTCGCCCGCCTCCATCGCCGTCCCGGGGGTGCCGATGGGTGCCCCGGGCCCAGCCCCGGCCCGGGCACGGGGGATGCTCGGCGGCCGCAGGACCAGACTGCGGTGGGCGGCTGCGGCCGCTGCCCCGGGCCAGGCCCGGCAGCTCTGCGGCTCTGCGGCGCAGGCGAAGTGCTTTGCCCGGGGCTGAGCCCTGCAGGAGGGTCCCTGCCTGCGCCCGGCCTGCCTTCCCCTTCGTCAATAATGCAGCCGCTGCCCCGGGGCCCGCCGGCGCTGCCCGCAATAATGGATCGGGATGCGAGCGGCCCCCGCCGCATCCTCCGCTGCGTCCCGCGCGGTGCCGGGAGCTGCCGGGGCGCGGGGCAGCGCTCACCGCTCACCGCTCACCGCTCACCCTCACCGCCCACCGCTCACCCTGACCCTCACCCTGACCCTGACCCTCACCCTCACCCTCACCCTCACCCTCACCCTCACCCTCACCCTCACCCTCACCCTCACCCTCACACTCACACTCACCCTGACCCTCACCGCTCACCGTTCACCCTCACCCTGACCCTCACACTCACCCTGACCCTCACCGCTCACCCTCACCCTCACCCTCACCCTCACCGCTCACTGCTCACCCTCACCCTCACCCTGACCCGCAGCAGCCGCTGCCACGGGTGACAGGCAGAGGGACGCGGGTTCCCTGCAGGCAGCCCCATCCCAGCAGGACACAGGGCACGGTCACCGCTGTCACCGTGTGCCAGCTCCCTGTGCCAGCAGGGAGGCTCGGCCTGGGAGCCCCGGCCTGGGTGAGCTCTGGGTGCCGGGGTGCTCATCCCGCTCCCCTCGAGCACGCTCCAGGTCAGGCAGGGAAGCATTACGGATCCTGCAGCTGCCTGGTGGAGACACCTCGGAGCACGGCAGCAGCGGGAAAGAGGAGGAGGAGGAGGAGGAGGAGGAGGATACAGGCACAGGCACCAGCGGGTCAGGGCCAGCCCACGGCTGCCGCTGTAGGTGGAGACCCCCAGCTCCCCCCAGCCACCAGCCAGTACGATGACGACCCACATGATGCTTGGAGTCAGTTTCTTCCCCCTTCAGATGGGGCAGAAAGCCCCCGAGATCTGTGTCAAGCCCAGGCTACCAGAGAGCAGTCCCAGTCCCCCGACACGGCCGTGCAGGTTGAGAGGGCACAGGCAGCCGCCAGAGGGGACCAGCCTGTGCCTCAGTGGCATCACGGACCCGCCACGTCCCACGTCCCCGGCTCCGATGGGCGAGCAGAGCCCTCCAACATCCCCCGCTTCCGAACGGGGATACGGCAGAGCTGCAGAGGGCGGGGTGGAGCTGCTCTGGGTGCTCACCCAGGGCCGGGTGGCTTCACAGCAGGGCTGCCACGGCACCCTAGGGTGCCACGCTGTCCCTCGGCTGGGTTTCCCCGGGGATGAGACTCAGGGGGTCACCCAGACAGACAGGAGGAAGGGGAAGACTTTACCAGGATGAAGAGGAAGACCTCATCCCAGGACGGCTCCTCTCCTCCTCCTCCTCCTCCTCCTCCTCCTCCTCCTCCTCCTCCTCCTCCTCGCGGCTCCATCCGAGGGCAGCGGGCGCGGGGCCGCGCAGGGTCCGGGCTGTCACGGGCTGGGCTATCGAATCTGAAAGCAATTAAAGCCATCACCAGCGCTCGCTCGGGGCTGGCTCCAGGCTGCAGGGAACCTGCCACAACAGATCATGTGCTCGATGCTGCTGGCCCGAGGACCTGCTCCCACCCGCGGCCCGACACGCTCCGGTGCCAGCCCCGCGCGGGGGAGGACGGGCCCGGCCAGGGGCCACCAGGTAGCCCCGGCGGCCACCTCGCTCCTGCTTCCTCTCCATGGGCTTCTCCTGCACGGGGCTCGCACCAGCCCCCAGCTTTGGCCACGGCCGCTCGTGGTGGCGAGGAGCTGGCGGTGCTGCGGTGCCCCGGGGGTTCCCGGGGCTCCCGGGGAGGGTTTGCACCCTGCTGCTCTCCCGTGGGCACCGTGGGGCTGGGGTGGGCACGGCTGGCAGCCGCCTGCACCCGTGGATTTTCTCGACAGAGTGGCCATAGCCCGTGACCCACGGCTTGTCCCACACGGTGACAATGGGGACAGCCCCAGCAGGTCGTATCCTGGGCTGGGGGCAAAAAGCAGCAGACCCCAATCTCGGCAGCTGCTGGAAGCGGGGTGGGTGACAGAAGGGCGCTGTGGAGGGGCAGCACCCCTCTATAGTGGCGTGAGGAGGGGGCTCGCACCAAGCCCCTTCCACCCTGTCATTCCCTTTCCTTTTTCCCGATGGGAAACGGTGCTGGGATCTCCTGCCCTGCCCCCCACGCCCATTTTGGGGAATCTGCGGGCTCCTGCCCCCCTCCCACGGCTCAGGGCCTGATCCAGCCTTCCAGGAGCATCTCCCGGGGCTAAACCCATCCCGCTGCTCCCGGCGGGGCGGGGGTCCCCCCTCCGCGGGCACCGCACAGTTAAGCAGAAGTTTGCTGGTACGGAAGTTGCACATTGTCTTGAGGCACATTTTCTGTTTTTTCACTTGTGAAATATTTCTGTCAGAACCAGTTAATGTACAAATTAGCAGCGGTGGTCTCTCTTACGTCTTCTGACTCACTAATTTGACAGGGGGTGTTTCGGTGGCGGAGCTCGCTCTTGACAGGCAAACGGGAGGTCAGGGACCCGCAGGGGGAGGAGGCACCGAGCCGCAGCTTC